AATCTCCCGTTGGAGAGCCGCGAGCTTCTCCATACTTGCGTTCTGTGATGTCGTCATTTCTTGTGCTCAAGGAGCCCATTTCTGAGAACTCACGGCAGTGTGCCTCCCCGAGATGTCATCTAATTTACGCCCAGAGATGTTATTCCGAGCTAGCCCTTCCAAGACGTATCCGGTCTGCAGTCAGAGATCTTATTCTGAGTATTCACAGCAGCCGTAGCCTCTCCAAGATCTTATCCGTGCTGACTCAATGAGCCCATTTTGAGAAACTCACGCCTCTCCCATCATTTCAATCCCAGCGGGCAGCCTTGTGGGGGTTTGAACTTGTGGGGGTTTGAACAGCCAGTTCTGCTTCCTTAATTCTTCGATAAGTCAGGGCCAAGCCAGCTCCGATCAGCCAGAACCCTGTTACCATGGTTCAGAATAGGTAGATATCTTCAGCACTCAGGCTCACCCAAGCCCAAACTTCTCGTCGAGAAAGGGGTGTCGATTGCATTTAGGGACCAGTTGATCCAATCCATATTTCCTCTTTTAGGTTTTAGAGAACAGACTGTGAGAGAAACCACTGTTGTGGTTTTATGGCCTCACTTCTATCTACACCAACCACCTAAAGAGCTCCAAACACCTGCCTCATTATAAAAGCAGCTCAGACATCTAGACCCCCACAGCTGACTCATTATCAGTCCTCAAACATACGTTCACAGAAAAAACTTTTATGTATTTTGTGTATCTTGTTCTGTAAGACACATTTTATGTTTTCAAAGCATCCTGGAGAAACATCTGACAGAAGCTCAACATTACGATCAGACGTAACATCTGATCGGTGACATGATGGTGTAAAGTTTATTACCGACTGAGTGTTGCTGAGATGATCCACACTCCTTTCATCTCTTAACTCAGTTGTTACCAGTCAGTAAAAAATCATCTGTTTGTAGTTTAACACTGTAACACTGTAACTCTAAGGTAACTAAGTACTTGTACTTCAGTGGAATTTTCTGGTATGTCTTGATGCTCAATCATCCAGGTAACTTTTTACTTTTGCTCTCGACATTTTTACACAAATGTTTGTACTTTCTTCTCTGACATTTTCAAAATGGTTTCATTTCATGAGGTTTAACCCAAAACTTACAGTTTGTCCATTGGTTACAGGGCTATACTCAGGTCAAAGTGGGGCAGAGGGATCCAGCATTTTTAGTCCAGGTGTCTTTAAGTTAAGGTTGTTGCGGGTTCAAATATTGAGAAGGGACACAGAAACAACACTGATCCAGGAGGGTTCGGTCAAACGATGATTTTAATGAACACGCGTGGAGAGACGACCACTGTACGCAGACAGCATCGATCTCTGACTAACAATACACAAGCAGATGTTTTATACCATCAGGGTTTAAATTTAATGACGCCCCTTCAACGTCAAACAGATACACTTCATACATAGGTTTCAAAACCACAATGACTTTTAACACAGTTTGAAAAGAACATCGCCTCGTCTCCACGCCACGTGTCTTCCTTTCGCTGCCGGATGCTCGCTTATCGTCTGGAACATCAGGCACACGTTCTGCAACAAACTGTTCTCTTGCAGGCACAATTCTGCAGTTGCAAGCTTTACAAAATATCATTTGAACCTTCACCTACCCCTGAGTCTAACTGCTGTGTAAGTGTGTGTCAACCCGAAATGCACTCAGTTTCACCGCTCACCTCACCAGCTAACCTTGTAACCTTTCCACCAGACAGAAGGCCAGCACGTACACATTTAAGATTATAACAAGCATTCAAAAGCATTTAAGATTATTGATTTAACTCAACAGTTTAAAGTGGTTATAACTGCACCTGTAATAAAGGCTAATTGGGTACCAATATATTTAAACATCTGATGTCAATAATCCAATTAAAAACAAGAGGGACCATAAAGGAAGTAACATTTTTTACATGGAAGGTAATACCAAATATCTATCAGGACATTTCTGTCAGCTCAACAAATATCAGCAAACTCATAAACTCTCCTTGTGCATTTTATCACACAGTGTGTCTGCCAGCAACAACCTGTAACAATCTGCTGGAGTTCACAACAGAAATGACCCCACTGATGTTAGGCTTCCTGTTATGTACTGTGTGCGACAGGCAGGATCGGTGGACCCAAAGTGGAGACTCACGGAGTAAACTCAAACTTAGATTTAATGCTACACGGCAGAAAAACAGAAAGCTCACTTAAACTAGAAACATTAAAAGGCTTAAAGAGGCAGAACACAGAGCATGAAATGACCAAAGGGCTACGCAGAGGGATAACGAGGGGATGGGACACAGGAGGAGAGCACAGCTGAGAGAAATTAGACCTAACGAGACAAGGGAAGCAAAACTAGAAACACTGACATGAGACAGACTTTCAAAGTAAAACAGGAAACACAGAGATGCAGACTTGACAAGGAGATACAGCTGACAGAGGAGTCAGAGCAACACAGACAGAAACCAGAAGACTAAAAACACTGAACCCCAAAGACTAGAAATAATTTAAAAAAGACAAAATCAAGTTCAATAATAAACTCAGCACACTGGGTCAACGACACAGGTACCCTCACATGCAAAAGTTGATAGAGTGGAACCCCGGTTTACACCATTTAATGAAAAATTCAAGTTACGAAGGCGTTTAACGGCAACATTTCTGCCCGTGGCACGGCAAAATGTAACGAAATAGATCAAATAGAAAATCAAAAAAATTCAATTAAATTCCATAATGTTATGTACATGTACGTATGTATGTATGCATACGCATGCTTTCTTCAACCTCCACCAAGAACTTCTGCTATAAATGAAATTGAATTTAGTCGATATAAATTCTTATCAAATATTAAGCATAACTTCTGCTTAGTGAATTCAGCTACACTGTAACCTTAAATCCAGAGTTGATGCTTGAAGTAACATTGTAACAGTTTTTGTCACAGAAGATGTTCATGCAGTGTAGCTCTGTTACAGACAACAGTTTTGTATATTAATGTATATTATTAAAAACAGTTTGTCACAAATATTCATTTAAAAAACTGACAAACATGTTTTATTATTTATTATTGTGTTGCCCAAATCACAGCATACATCACTATTAATGTTTCTCCGCCCACCCTCCCTCTCTTTGATATAGAGTGTAAAGGGGGAACTGTCTGACCCTCACATGAAGCATTCAGATTTGGAATAGGAGCACATCTGCACTCTCTGCTCTAAGACAGGATCTCCTCTGCAGGATGCCTGGAAACATCCGATCAGGTATTTCAGGAACAGAATTGTGTCTTTATCTGCATGTAACCCAATCGTCCCAGTGTGTGACTTTACAGTGGAGTTTATTTCCTGATTTTTCGTCTTACCTTAAATATAAAAAAATGCATCTACACTTTCAAAAGGTAGGTTCTTTAGTAATAGATTACATTCAGGTTGAGACTAATGTTTGAATCGTCCTTTGTCTCCTAGTCTCTGTGGTGTTGGTAGGTATGTTGTGCTTGGTGCTCTGCAGTCAGCCGACCCGTCTGGATGCAGCCCCCCTCTGCACGAATGCCGAGGCTGGGTGTCACGTCCTCTCCCTGGCTAACCTGTTTGACCGGGTCATCCAACACTCAGCCAGAATGCACGGCATCTCCAATGACCTTCACTCTGAGTTTGTACGTTTCTTCATTGCAGTCGTGAGAAAAAGCTTTTTAAACGATGTTTAATGAACAAGCTTGATTGTGACATGAGGATCTTCTGTCTGCCTTTTAATGAGACGTTGTCAGGTTTACATAAAGTAGTCGATCAAACATTATCAGTTAGATACACATACAGTCATTCTGTTAGAACCTGATGAGACGAGATGAGTTTTTCAGTCTAATTAAATCAAGGATGAACGTTTTTACTGTTGACTGAGCTGTACGAGATGTTTTCACACACACTTGCTAACATAAATGGCACAAATCTGTATCATGTATAGTCTGCTATGCTGTATACTGTTAAGATTTGGCGCCGTATAAAAATAAAACTGAATTGAATGTGTGATAAAGACGCATCTATTGTGCAGACAGACACCAGTAAGGATACAGAGACAGGAAGCCATCGTATTAAGTCATTCACTGCTTTCGTGCTCCAGGCACGTTTGACATTTAGATGATATTTAACCTCTGACATTTCATTCATGTTTGTCCTCCCAGGAGCTTTACTTCCTGCCCAGTAAGAACCAGGTTGGCCGGGTCAGTCGCAACTGTCACACGTCTAACATCCTCAC